CAAGTCCAACGCACTACTGTGGTCTTTCTTTCCTTCATTCTTTCTCTCTTAGCTCCCGCGTATGCATGAGTACATGCGGTATTTATCCCTCTGTGCTTTGCTTATTTCACTTAACGTAAGTTTCTCCAGGCACATCCATGTTGTTGCAAATGGGAGAATTTCATTCTTTTTTATGGCAGAGTAGTATTCCATGGTGTGTGTGTGTGTGTGTGTGTGTGTGTGTGTGTATACACACACACACACACCACAGTTTCCTGATCCTATCATCCATCGATGGACATTTAGGTTGGGTCCATGTCCTGGCTATTGTAAACAGAGCTGCGATGAACATGGGAATGCAGGTATCCCTTCAACATGATGATTTCCATTCTTCTGGGTATATACCCAGAAGTGGGATTGCTGGATCATATGGAAGATCTATCTGTAGTTGTTCGAGAAACCTCCATACTGTCTTCCATAGTGGTTGTACTAATTTACAGCCCCACCAACAGTGTAGGAGTGTTCCTTTCTCTCCACACCCTCGCCAGCATTTGTTATTGACTGTCTTTTTTGATTATAGTCATTCTAATTGGGGTGAGATAATATCTCAATGTGGTTTTAATTTGCATTTCCCTGATGACTAGTGATGTTGAGCAGTTTTTCATGTACCTATTGGCCATTTGTATGTCTTCCTTTGAAAAATGTCTGTTCAGCTCCTTTGCCCATTTTTTAATTGGGTTATTTGTTTTTATACTGTATAATTGCTTGAGTTCCTTGTATATTATGGATATTAATCCCTTGTCAGATGCATAGCTAGCAAAAATTTTCTCCCACTCTGTAGGTTGTCGTTTCACTCTGTTGATTGTTGCCTTTGCTGTGCAGAAGCTTTTTAGTTTGATATAGTACTATTTGTTTATTTTTTCTTTTACTGCTTATGCTTTCAGGCTCCTGTCACAGCCAATCAAACTAATTTTACAGCCCCTTAATGGATTATGACTCATAATGGAAAAGCACTGCACTGGAGAATATTTTGGATCTCTTCCAACCCACAGTCACATTTCTCTTACGATGGTCTCCACAAGACCACTCCAAGCACACAAGTGACTCTTTTGACTTGTTTGGTAGCCATGCTAATTTCCAAAAATAGAACCTAGGGAATGTATATCAGACCCTCCCATAGCTTGTGTTTTAACCTTGCTTCTCTCCTTCCTTTCTTTAGATCATTTATCAATTTACTATTTCTTTCTATAACTATTTGTAGAATCTGTATTTCGGGGAGTGTACAGGTACAGAGGCACAAATGGTGAGTAAGAGCGGGTATGCATCCTGATGGCATACTGGGAATAAAAGAGTTCATCTAAAGCGTACAGGAAAATATTTTCAAATTATAAGTTCTATTGAATAAGAATATAACATTACATATAACAGGGGGGACTGATTTGACATGGAGTGTTAGGAGAGTCTTCTGGGAGAAGTGACACTTGAGCTGAGACGTGAAAATGGAATATAGCCAGGCAATGGACAGCACGGTGAGGGCAGGCACAGGTCACCCCCTGTCATAGGCATCTAAGGCCGAAGAGGGCATGAACTGCTAGTTGGGGAATGGAAGGAAAAAATATTCAAGATAAGGCTGAAAAAATAAAGAGGGCCAGACCAAATAGGTTCCTGTAGACCATGGGATAAGTTGAAGGGTTTTTTGAGGCTGGATAACATGATAAAGCTCTCATTTTAAAAATATAACTGCCGTATGGAGAATAGATTGGAGAAGTCCAATATTATATGTAGAGAGCTATGAATAGCCTATTGCCACAGTCTGGGTCACACATGATGGAGGAGGTTGGAATGGGGTGGTGGTCTTTTGTTAGTTGTCTTTTTTCTGACTGAACACACTTTGCAATGAATTTCATGTGCACTGGGACCAGACTTGTTAATTTAAGAGCTATGGGTTAAAAAATAAATAAGCCATGATATGGTGTACCAAAAAAAGAAAGTTACAGAAATGCAACTGTGAGTCTACGTAATAAATGATTGAGGTACAGGGAAGCTCTTACTCTTTTATTTTGAAAAATCAGATTATAATCTGAGTTTAAATACTTTAGATATCACCAAATTGTATTATGCCCACATGGGTATAGCTCTGGAAAATGAAATACTTATCGTTTCTCCCTCCGAGAGTTAAGAATCTGAGATGAAGGGCTTGGGAGCTGATGTGCTGAAGGAGAAAGATGAATTTGAATAGCCAAACCTGCCTGCATGATCAAATAAATTTATATTCATACTGGCTGAGGGAAGCATGTTGCCTCTTGCCTGGGCCTTTTCCTTCTTTGACTAATAATCTCCTACATGTTTGAACACTGTTGTTAACTAGCTATGACTGACACCCTTATCAATTTGTTCTGTAAAGAAAAGTAGCTCAACCCAAATCTTACTAAAAATGTTTGTTCATTTGGGCTGAATTTAATACAACCACTGTCCTCCCCCTTAGAGTTAAGTGGAGTAATGGGAGAAGGGTCCTCTGGTCTGTCACCAGGTTTCTGACCTACACCTGAGAGCTTAGCACAGTGACCAGCAGGGAGTGAATCAGATCTGCTCCATGTGCTAACCCAGGCTGAGTAGGCTGCTTCCATTGGCATTTAGTTATGTTTATAGTTAGCACTTTGTTCTCCCTTCTTTTAATACCCAGTCCTCACCCACCTCACCATCCCAAAAGGCCTTGCTCACATCCCACGAGCAATCAGTCATCTTTTCTGTTTTATTATATTAACTGAGAACAGCCTAAGGTGCAATGGGTTGTAGGTATGATGACATATTAATTATCCCAATACTGCTTACTAGAAGGCCTATAAAACACAATGAATGCAACTTGTATTGGTGCATTTGATAGGATTGTGGACCACATTGCCTAGATCTAGATACTTTTCCTGTTGCTCATTAAACCTATTGCAGCAGTGACCAGCCAGTCATTGCATTGAGATAAAGAATATCATTTCCTAAAAGATAGTACCAACTCAGACATTTACAAAGTGCTTCCTGTGTTTCTGTCTAAATTCCCCTAAAAGCTTCATTTCTGATATCTTCTATGTGAATCAGTCTTCAGTGGTAAATAAAATTTTTATTTATTAAACAAGTAAACATCGGGGACTGTTAGCCTTCATTAGAATGTTATTGCCTCGGATTAATGCTTCACTGAATTTCTCTTTTTTCTTTTGTTTGTAAATCCCCTCCTTCTCCTTTGGTCTAATGATAATTATAAGGAAGAAAATGTACTAAGTACAGTTCTCTCCTCATTGATAGTCTACATTTATTTCCCAAGCAAAGAATTTGTCTCTAGGAATTGGCATGTATCCTTGGGCACTGTTTGCAGGCACTTAATTCTTTAATTAAAATAAAACTTTAAAATGTGATCTCAGTGACATTATGTCTAAGGAAACATGGCAAAACAGTGTTATACAGGGATCTTTATCATGACCAGAAATCATGTCTGTGCTTTGAGGGGAAAAAATGACAGCAGTAAGGAATGCTTTACAGAAGACTCTTTTCGCACATAGCAGAGGCTAGTTCACCTCTGTGTCTCGTTTACTCTTCCAATCCCTCAGCCCCACGCTCCTTCACGGGTGAAGCCCACGTCTGATCACACGTACAGCTTAAAACCCTTCAATGACTCCCCAGTGCCTCCAGACTCAGGAACACGGTCCCGTCGCAGGATCTGGCCTCTGCCTTCTTCTCCAGACTTAAGCTTCCCCATCATACCTGTTGTTCAGCAAATCCAAACTATTTTCCTTTCCCCACTCACACTAGTTTCTTTCTCATGTCTGTGATTGCTCACATGCAGTTTTTCTCTGTCAAAATGTACTTTTGCACCCGGAGAACCTTTGGCTCTACCATTTATTAGGTGTCTGACCTTATGCATGTTACTTACCTGTCACTGCGCCATTATCTCCTCATTTGTAAATAGGAACCTGAGAGCAGCATTGTGGGGAGGGGCCGGGGTGACACCTGAAGAGTGTGTCAGAGCCTGCCTCCTGGAGGGCATTCAGGAGAAACATCAGGAGATGTTAGCTTCATTTTAGTTATTATTATCATCGTGCTTCAAAATTTAGCTCAGGTTTCCCTTTTGCTGAGAAGCGTTCCCTTCCCTTCCCTTCCCAAAGACTGAGTGAATGACTTCCTTGTATTGTGCACTCAGTTCTTTATTGTCCTTTTAATATCTTTTTCTTATCCTTAATGTGGCACATGATTTTTTGTGATGTTGCTGGGCAGTGAAGTTGTTAGTATGGAAAAATGGGCATGAGAATGATTCAAGGAAACCTCATAACTCATATTTTATGGACCTCCTGCAACAGTGTGGTTAGGATATGGTCACTAGCAATAAATGGATAAATGGGGTTTTCTTTATTTCCTGGGCTTTAAAACTATGTAAGCAAATAGTCAATGAGTGCTTATGTCAAGCATGACAGTAAATATACTTATCCTATTTATTCTTTGCTGTGATCAAATATGATAGATATTCTCATTATTCCCATTATACACATGAGGAAACTGAGGGTCTAAGGTCACAATGCTCGTGAAAGACCATTACAATAGTCCCCCCTTATCCATGGTTTCACTTTCCATGGTTTCAGTTACCCGAGATAACTGAAAGAAGATATTTTGAGAGAGAGAGAGGCCACATTCACATAACTTTTATTACACTATATTGTTTTAACTGTTCTATTTATTAATAGCTATTGTTGTTGCTATCTCTTATTCTGCCTAATTTATATGTTAAATTTTATCATAGGTATGTATGTATAGGAAAACACATAGTATATATATGGTTTGGTATTATCTGCAGTTTCAGGTATCCACTGGGGGTCTTGGAATGTATCCCCTGTGAGTAAGGGCAGACTTTTGTACTTCTAACACATGAGCTCTTAGTTGCTAAAGAATGCTCTGCTCTGATCTGTAAGCTCTCACTTGTTTCTGGGACTCTTTAGCATGTAAATATGTTTGACAAATTTTCTTTCCTAATGCTATTCCAGGTATTCCTTCCAAGATGAGGAAGACATGTTCATGGTTGTGGACCTCCTTCTGGGCGGGGACCTGCGCTATCACCTGCAGCAGAACGTCCGCTTCCAGGAAGACACAGTGAAGCTCTTCATCTGTGAGCTCGCCATGGCCCTGGAGTACCTGCAGAGTCAGCACATCATTCACAGGTCAGTCAAGTCCAAGGAGACACTGAAGAGGATTCACAACCTGCTGCATTCAACAAATCCTTGTTGAATGTGATATTTAATCCTCATTTAATTCTTGCAACAGTCCCCTGAGGTAGGTTAGTTGTCCCCATTTTGCAGATTAAAAAAATAAATATATAGGGCCGGCCCGGTGGCACACTTGGAGAGTGCACCACCTGGGAGTGCGGCAGCGCTCCCGCTGAGGGTTCGGATCCCATGTGGAGACCGGTTCCCGCTC